TAAGACAGTGGTTCTCAACCTTTTTTTCCACTGGGCCGCACTATGGTCCAAGTGCAAGTCTCACGGGCTGCAAGCATATCATTGACATATTATGTCACCAATACAAGCCAACCAGATTTATAATAGCCTATTATAGCCTAAATATTATGATATCTAATCGATTACATTCATTGAAATAAATAAATAAATAAATAATTATACTCCCCATTAATAAAACACCTGATGCTGTCGGGAGCTGACCAATTTTGTGAAATTCGGCTTGAAAAGAGTAACAGCACAATGAAGTTGCCATTGTAAGTTGCAGTCTGTAAGACGCTCACGGAAGCGTGACTTGACGCGCCACATTGCAGAAAATGTGCGTTCACAAATGTAGCCTATGTTGATCCAAATATGGAAAGCACTTTCGAATTTAATAGTATGGGTGTTTCCTTTTGCCTGAACTAGAGCCCTGCATTTCAGCCCGGGCCCAACGGTCCCCGACTTTTTTATGCCTCTCCGGCCGGGCTTCGGGACAATTTTCACGTCATAAGACGCGGGCCGGGCATCGGGCTTGTTTTAGGCTTCTCCTTATTTTTATATTTTAGACATCCATCAATTAGTGATTAATTGTTTTTTTTTTGTTTTTTTGCCGTGCTGGTGGAAACAACACGAGACCGTGCTGCCACGACTGTCAAGAGCGGCTCAACGGCGTTTAGTGTCCAGCTCGGTGTCGCAAGGATGACGTTGTCGATCCTGACTCGCCATCTCCTCATCAGACGCGCCTTTAGAGAGAAGTGCATCTTTACGGATTATGATTTTAATGAAAGAGTTTTTGTTTTTTATTTGTTTTATTTCGTTTAGTAATTTAAAGCTTTCTATAGATATATTTATCATGTCTGTGAGGCGTGTATTCGCTGAGTTTCGGTTCATTTTTGTAAGCGCTACTGTTCAAGACCGAGACGGCAGAAAGCGCATCGTGTTTGATTTCTTTATTTTATAAAAGCACAACATTTTGTTGATATTGTGAGTGCACACAAATAAATAGTACAGGTCTGCTCATGTATGAAAATAATATATGAAAAACAAAATTATTTTACATTATAGCTTATATTTGTTTAGTACATTTTTAAATTAATGTAAAAACTAAAATGAATTGTAAAACTGAAAGTTATTTTTTAAATTGTGTTCAGCATGGTGGGCCGCATTTGAATTTGTGACGGTCCGCGGGTTGAGAACCACTGGATTACATTATTAGGTTACTTTGACCATCATAGATCAACATAATCTATAAAGGTGAGAATCAAGATATTCCATGATATAGTTAATGCGTTTGGGCATGTTTCGAATAAAAAGGAAAAAATAAATAAAACATAAGTGCTGTTGTGGCTGTGTCACATGACTTACCCCCCTCCCAACTCGTGCCCCCTCAAAAATAATGAGTGCATGACGCCCCTGTTTCTGACACTGTTCGGATGTAGTAAAACACCAATAGATGTAGCTGAAAACATCTGGTCATGTTTGCATTTTATTGGCCATAATTCTAAACTTGAAATCAAGATTAGGCATAAAATAATGTCTTCAGAATCATTTATACATGTAAAAACTGGCTGAGAATTTAATAGCTGCAACCTGCATCATGTCTTTGTGGCAGTTTTTAAGTTTATTACAAGACTTAAAGACTTCTTCACCCTAGGAATGGTTGTTGAAAGCAAATATGCTACGAAATTCATCATGTTTTGTAAAAACAACAACAACAAAAAAAAAGTGCTAAATCAAACAGGCACTATTTTTGATCAGCACCCCACAATTAGTAAGAAACAAGTATTGTATTTCATTCAGCAAATATGATGCAGGGCGATGTAATATAATGCTCTTAAAAATTCTTTATCATCATTATTTATATACAGAGTCATTTTCTTGTACATTATTTTAAATTTGCTTAATATTTTAATGTGAGTGGGACAATTAAATATTTATCTTGATTTTGTTTACCACATTTTTATTTATTTCACAAAAAAAAAAAAGCTTGGCATTAACAATAATTGGCAGACCACTTCCAGTCCCACGGTTGAAGACCTCTGGCCTAGACAGTCATCAAACTGTGTGGATTTACTGTAAAATACAGTCGTAGAATAAAACAGATGTATGTGTATAATATTTGACTTTACTTTGACCAACAGTGATTTTCAAGATGGTGATCTGAGGTCACTGTCCATTCTTGTTCCTGTAACATATTGCACTGTTCAGTGCAAATATTGCGGGTATGACAGTTTGAACCAGAAATACTTTGTCTTATTCAAGAACACACTGATCTTTATTTTCAGTAACTTAAGGATCAGAATGACCTATATGTCCTTGAGTGTATTCACTGAAGTGGAAAAAAATTCAAAATGACAAGAACGAGAGTGAACAGCCGGCCGCATTTTGAGTGCCGCTGTGCATATGGGCTACAGATGGTTATAGAAAGACTGTATCATGTTTATACTGTAGTGACTGCAGCAGAAGGCTGTTTCTCTTTAATCAGGACACAGTGAGACAGTTAGCTGTAACTGCTTGACTTTGAACAGAGAAGTAGGCCAGAGAAATAATCTCACTTTGAAGTTACAACATGCAGCTTCCTGCACAGAGCAGAGAGGACATCAACTGTACTGTAGATATTCCTAAAATATATATATGAATGAACAATAAATATCAATGACACTGTCTGAAACATGCATAAAATAGGCATCATTTTTGTCTGACTTTGAGAAAAATCACTGTCAGTTTACAGCGAGAATGCAATGTTTACGTGGTGGAACCTCAACTGTTGATTCTCAGAAGGCTTTGCGCACTATAGATGTATACAATTCATGTTTAGGGCTTAAAACTTTATATTAAGAGGTGATAGAGGTTGTTCTTACAGTTGTTGTTTTTTATGTGTTTGCTATTCGCATGACCCCTGAGAACACTGAATATGTCAGTTTCTGATGTGCTAAATTAGCTTGTAACACTGAATTTCAATAGAGGCTGCTAAATGATCTTTCTTTCATAAGACTTGCGCTGATGGCGTGAGGTTAAAAACCTAGAACTTGTCACCCTTTTGTTAAAGCTTGTTGTATGTTTAGCTTATAAAAGAACAGATCGGTTTTTCTTTCACAAAGTAGACAACTGGGATTTTGTGGTTTGATTTAGCAGTTTAATGTCAGATTGTGCCATAATTTGTCATCACATCACAAAGACCTAATTCGCAGTTTTAAATATGCCAAACTGTCATGTTCTTATGAATGTTGAATAAGATCTGTCAGTAGGGCCAAATGAAATTTTGACTAGTGTTGTTGTTTTTTCTTTTATTCACATCTTGTTGGATTTTATCTTGGAGTGGGCAAAATTCTGGTAATAAAGTAATCGCTTTGTGCAAACTCCTCTGTGACGATTTCCTTTTTTTTTTCATGTACTTATTCATTTGGGTGAAAAAATGAATATTTTATTTGAATAAATAATATGTGCCAAATGTGTCAAAAGCCAAATGTGTGAAAGCAATTATAAATAAAAGATAGAGAAAAAGCGCTCTGTATAATTCAGTCTTTCGAGGTTTTGTTATGAATGAAACATCAGAGTGTTTTTTCTCACAAAATGATGGTGGGTTAGTAACACTCCTTTAAGTCTTGTAACCAGTTTAATTTGTTTGACGAAACGGAACTGATCATGAATTATATATATATATATATATATATATATATATATATATCATTGCTTTTTGACTGTGATAATCATTTTTTAATTTATTTTGGCTCTAGTACCTCTGTTATTGCTCTTAGTAAAAACAAACAGCAAAGGAACCATTACAAAATATTATAAATAGTTAAGAAGCCAAAAAGTGAATCTTTCTTCTCAGTTATTTTTTTCTAAACACTGTTTTTGACAAATTCCTGTATATTTTCCATATAAAACAAAAAATATGAATCAATCAGTCAGCAAACAAACGGAAACTAAATTAGGTTAGTTTACTTGCTAAATATTAGCTCAAATGCATTTTGTTCACAGTGTATTTAGTAACCTTTGGCCTTCTAAACTTTGATACAAACATTGTGTTTTCCAAGCATGCTGTTACGGGTGGATATAACCACAGCTAGCTAATGTGATCTTGTTTCGGTCTTAAAAATGTAAAAACTACCTTACCTTGCATGACAGAAAGCCAGGAATCAAATCCACACAGAGGAAAAGGCTCAACAGGATATCCATGAGACATTTTTTTTTTATATTAGCAAGTGCTTACTTGGTAGCTAGCCACCTTCAGGTGCCTAGTCACAACATGGGCTGAATTCACAATTACATACTAGCATGCATGCTACATGCATTACGGAAATAGTAAGAGTAGTATGCTAGTATGCTATTCAGAATTCAGACTGCTTCTTAGTAGTATTCAGCAAATCTAGTATTCCAAATATCCTTTTTTTTTTTTCACTGTAGCCAGTTTAAGCTTTTTTTGCTTTATGTTCTTTAAAACTTTAAACTATATTTTAAAGTGCATCTACACTCAACTTCACAGTTCACACAATTGGTAATAAACATCTTGAACACTCTTCAAACCAGAAATTGTGAACCTTCTCCGGTTTCTTATGAGATTACATGGCTGCTGTCTGGACACCACTGGTAGGGCCATTCATATTTTTAATTGAATCTAATCTGCTCAGGAGAAGCTGGTGAATAAATTCTGACTTTGCTGCTGTAATTCCCTCTAGTCTGCCCTCTTCAACCCCACATCTGTTGAGAGCAACATAAAACGGGTCCACTATTTTAAGCCGAATTCTACATGGCTGCTTGGCTTAAAAAAATAAAACATGATCTAAGCCAAGGTTCTGGATTCTGGGTCTCAGTCTGGATAAGTATGTGGCTCAAGCAGGTCACATCAGCTGATGAGTGAAGATATCTGGGTCAGCCTGATAACTATGACCGCAATGTGCTCAGAGCAGCTCTATATAAATAATTCAGAAAAGGGTGGGACATTTTTTTTTCTTTTGTAGTATATGGAAACCAGAGCATGACTGACAACCATGTATGTACTCATATATAAATGTTGACAAATCTTCCTTTCAATAATTATAATAATAATACAGTAAAAATAAATATTGTAAAATATTATAAGAACATAAAATAACTTCAAATATAAAAATATGAAAAGTTAAATATTATTTTTTATATATTTTAAGCCTTCACTGTCACTTTTGATTCATTCAATGGACCTTGTTGAATAAAACTATTAATTTTATTAAAGTATTAATTTCTTTCAATAATAATAATAATAATAATAATATAAAATGCAAAAGATATCATACATAATAATAATTATTATTATTATATATATATGAATCAGTTTGTGTCCATCCTGATATTGGCAATCACTGTGAGTGTGTCTGAAAGAGACAACAGCTTCCCTAACAGACAGCATTTGTGCATATATGTTCACAAAAAAGTTCATCCTCTTGTCTCATGTCTCTCCTCCTCAAATAAGAAGAAAGTATTTTAACACACATGAATGAAAGTCTCATTGCAACATATCATGTTCAGTTAGTGTGTCATTCATCATGGTTGTATTGCATGAAAATCCATGATTCACAAACTCCCTGCTGCTCCATAAAAGCAAGCAGTCTTCCTCTATTATCAGCAGCGAAGTTTCCTCAGGGCAGGATCAGTGCTTCATCTCCATTTAAAACAGCCCGGTTTAGACGAGGCCAAACTCTCCAGTATGGAAACTGCTGTCTCGAGAAGACAGTGTGACTGTGAATCTCATATTAGCACTGGCATCCCATGGGCTCAGTAGACAATAAAAGCCCTGGAGATAAATAGGTCTGCACATGAGCGACTCCTTGCGAGTTTGTGGAAATAAAGAGGTGATGCATACAGAGAAGAACAGGAAGCACCATTATGGTCAGCAGACGTACGACATGGTCTTAAATATGACGAATGCTTTTTAATTAGACTCTCTACTGCAGTGTATTACACGTGCGTGGCCATCAGAGAGCCGCAGCCTGATTGTGTGAGCTGTTATGATGACACCCTCACTAAATAATGCAGAAGGCCAGTGGTTTTGTGCTGCATTTGTAAATTAAAAGTTTGGGGTCAGTAAGATTTAATACTGAAAGAAGTCTTGTGCTCTGCATTTATTTGATTAAAAAGTAAAAAAGTAGGCTAATAATGTGAAATATTATTACAATTTAAAATATAATAATGTATAACTACTATATTTTAAAAGTATTTAAATGTATGTAGTATGAAGCATGTAGCCTAGTAGTATGTAGTCTAGACTTTAGAGCCCCCTACAGTTCAGTGGGTGGAATTCACTGTCGTAAATAGGCTATACCGCTGTCTTAACTGTACACGTGCATTCGTTGCTGCCGTAAAGTAATGCTCTATTTTCGTGGAATTTCGTACCGGTTTACCAAACTTACATGCTCTCATATTGAACAGAAGTTTTGGGGAGAGCTTGGGAAAGAAACAGAAGCCATTCACCGTATTAGTACCATCAGAATAAACCGACATTTTAAGGTAAAAACTTGTGTACAGTTGCTTTAAAATGTAAAAGTACTTTAAAATCTTTAGTGTCACATAATCATTCAAAAAATCATAATTCTTCCTGATTTGATGCTCAAGAAATATTTCTTATTATTATCAATGTTGAAAATAGTTGTGTAGATAAATATTTTTGTGAAAACTGTGATACGTTTTGTTCAGGATTCTTTGATGAATAGAAAGTTCAAAAGATCAGCATTTATTTGAAATATATAACTTCTGTAACATTTTGTTCAGGATTCTTTGATGAATAGAAAGTTCAAAAGATCAGCATTTATTTGAAATATATAACTTCTGTGTTATATATATATAAGTGTTTTTGCTTTTACTTGTGATAAATTTGAATGCATCCTTGTTGAATAAAAGTACCCAAAATATACATTTCTCTCTCTAATGATAAGACCTAAAATTAAATAACCTGTTAAAACAAAGCAAAATTAACATCACATTCAAAGACACACTGATTCATTGATTTAAACTATGTATATCAATATTTATTGGCTGCTTTTTTTCCTTTCGCAGTTTAGTTTCAGTTACATAATTTATCTCAGCATTTTGAAAGGACATATACACATATTTACTTCCATTCAACATGTTCCTTTAAACCACATGTATTGTTCTGCATGATAATACCTCTATACTGCATGGGCTTCTCAGCACTAACCCCCTATTATACAATCAAAGTGATATGGAAAAGATAAGCCAACAATCAAAGAAATACCAAATGTATTGTTCCTGTAGTCTTTAGAAAAGCAGGGGATAATTGTCGGTTTCCTTGACCCAGGGTTGCTTTGGTTGTAATGGCAATACATGTACGTATCCATAGAAAGCAAGGCTAGAAAAATGGAGACAATTTGATCAACATTCCCATTGCCTAAAATACAAACAAGGCTGTCCATAGTGCAGCATGACCAAAAACATATACAATACAGGAATACAAATAAATTCAAGGTGTATTAAAATACTGATCATGGCATTAACACAGCTCTACTAAATATATACTGTAACAATTTACACCATCGTTTGAGGCCTTCCTGCTCATCTGAATGTGACAACGTGACATAATGCCATTCTCTCAACCCAAAGTAGTGACATTACTCTCTGGGAAATATATTCTAATTCAAGACAGCCAATTTTCAACTTTTTGTTCTCACTGTTTCTGTTCAGGATGATAAAGCAAGGTTTTAGAAACTATTTTCGCTCCTTGGGATGTTAGAAGCCCAGTGAGTCATGAGAGTGGGCAGACTTTAGTTTCAGCGAATAAAGCGAATAAAAAACAGAAATCACCTTTCTTAACACAACGAGCTGTCCACTAAATATAAAAAGTCATTATTTTCTTGTGGCAAGGAGAAAATCTGGTTTAGATTAAGTTGTTAAGCCTTAGTGTTTAAAGCTACAGATGGGGAAAAAAGGGATGTTTTCATGTTTACATAAACACTGAAACGTACATAATGTATTAACAGTATCTAAAGCATTACTTTATGTATAAACAACTTTAGAGATAAATGCATGGAATTACTGATACATTATTGATTGTATGTTATAAATGGCATATGAACAAAACATAATAGGCATATATAGTATATAAAGAGACATTAGATGCTGTCAATGCGCCCATATTGTAAGTTTCAGCATATATGCACAACAATGCATGTGTAATAGTTCAAGGGTTGTAGATTTATATGAAATACGAAAATAAAAATAGGACCAAACTGAGCCACTGTACAGAAGCTGTGCCCACAGAATTTTACATTATGTATCACACAAAATAGAAAGATAACTTCATTATTCCTATTGACTGTTTAGCCAAGTTAGAGGCTTTGATTACATATTTATATTGTGAATTTTGTCTGGGAAGTACCACTTGTTTAAAATCTTTGAGGATGTGTAATTATTTGTTTCCATTGAGAAAAATCTCAGCAAAAAGCTGAAGCCTGTAAGATTTGAATGTACTTTTAAGTATTTTAAATGTACTGTATATTGCCCTTGTTCCATACACACACACACACACTTAAATAATAATAATAAAAAAAATCCCTGAAATAAAACGGACAACTTCTGAGTTTTAAATTCAATAATTTGGGCTTGAAACTAAACCGCTGTAAAAATCCTATTGCCAAAGACTAATGACAACACAGCATTCCATAAAACAGCTGATAATTTAGATATATGAAATACGAAAATAAAAATAGGACCAAACTGAGCCACTGTACAGAAGCTGTGCCCACAGAATTTTACATTATGTATCACACAAAATAGAAAGATAACTTCATTATTCCTATTGACTGTTTAGCCAAGTTAGAGGCTTTGATTACATATTTATATTGTGAATTTTGTCTGGGAAGTACCACTTGTTTAAAATCTTTGAGGATGTGTAATTATTTGTTTCCATTGAGAAAAATCTCAGCAAAAAGCTGAAGCCTGGAAGATTTGAATGTACTTTTAAGTATTTCAACACAGCATTCCATAAAACAGCTGATAATTTAGAGTAAACTATTTTCACACGATCTAAACCATAAGCTGACCAAGATAAGCATGTGGAAGCATGCACTAGCATGTGTCACTGTACAACACCTTTTTATGGCTCTGTGTCAACCGCAGTGTTAGTGTTACAGTTTAATTCCATTTTTGTAATACTGAAGAATTTTAAATAATACTTTAAAAGGAATAGAGCGACCGAAAATGAATGTATTGTCTTACTCACCCTGTGAGTGTGTTGTTCCAAACATCCCAAAACTCTCCTTTCATGTTTCATGGAAAAATATCAACATATGGGCAACATATACAGTATATTAAATATATCAACACATATAGTTTTTAAACTATTCATTTAGTTAATAAAATAATTAAAATATTACTAAACTATAATAGTATCTCAGTGATACTAAAATAACACTTCATATTATTTTTTGCAATGACGTAAGGTGAGTAAATAAACAGAGAATTCTCATTTTTGGGTGATCTATTTCTTTAACTTCAGAAGCAGTGACTCTGAAGTTGGAAAGATTGCAAAGACGGTACTTTGTTTTACTCTATCTGGTCTTCGGTATGAATACAAATGCCTTGGAAACCAACTTAGCCTAATATGGAAATGGTTACGAAATAAAGCGATATTCCACGGCTCTACGACAAAGTGTAAACAACAAGGCCATCAGTGAAGAATCAGCTAAAGCCTACTAAATGTGACTCAACCCCTCTGGGATATAAGAATACTAAACGGAAAACACCGCTTACGTTGTGGTAAAATAATATTAGCAAACGCTCGTTAGAAAAATCCTTTCTTAGTAAAGGGGTATTTGCTGTGAAACACTGAAACCAACGATGGTGTTTTCTTTAATGGAAGTAGCATATGCCTGTCTGACTCTTTATGTGTTCCTTTCCAAATACTCCTGAGCGACTCTTGATTTGGGGATTATAAATGTATGATACCCCAAAGCTTGTGAATCTTTATAAGCATGATTATCCATCCTACAGTACCATGTTCTACATAATAATCACGAGAAGCACACAAAGGATATTCACAGCAGTCTTTACAATTACTCCCTCAATCTCACGTCTAGAACTGAAGTGTATTTACAGATTTTAATTGGCACTTGACAATTACATACGGACGTCCGCCGTTAGCTCTCTGCTTCAAAAATATCATTTAAACCGGCAGCTCTCTGCAGAGTTCCCGGAGGCTGTTCGTGTGTTCGCCGTTAGCTCTTTGCTTCAAAACTATGATTTTAACTGGCAGCTCTCTGCAGTGTTCCTGGAGGCTGTTCGTGTGTTCTTTCGCTTTTTAAACATTTCCTTTCTTTGTACATTTTTTTTTCTTGCATTATAGGAACAAGGTGCACTCCTCCCCAGCGTACTGGGCTTGACGTTTCCTTGTTGCCTGGGGAATTAAAAGCCTTTAGTCCAGAGAAAGCAGCGGCTGCATGTTTTCTTCTTCGCTTTTCACTTTTTCTGGTCGTTTCAGGACACCTGGTTCCACCACGGACTGGGACCTGTGGGTATAAATAAAATATGAATGAACCGGATTTCAAGATGCACAACTGAGAAATTAAAAATCCTGAGAGTGCACTGAAAAGCCAGGATACAAAATTGAATCTAAACCTCAAAATAAACAAGAAAAGTAATGACATTTATTTGAAAAATGTATTAGATTATTATTTATTACATTCTTTAAATTATTACTAAATATTTTAAAGAATGTATAATGTGTAATATTTCTAGGCTACTAATCAAATAAGAAAATCAGGAATAGTTCTACCAAAAATCTTAATTTGCTGAAAATGTACTCACTTTCAAGACATTCAAGATGTAGATGAGAGTGATTTGGATAAATTTAGCATTGCATTACTTGCTCACCAATGGATCCTCTGCAGTGAATGGGTGCCGTCAGAATGAGAGTCCAAACAGCTGATAAAAATAATCCACAAATAATCTACTCCCCTCCAGTCCATCAATTAACATCTTGTGAAGTGAAAACCATTGTTTCTGGTCAAAATACTGAGAGTCCATAATCCATAAAAACACTTCCACTACTGGAAAAAGTATATTCCCTGTTGTCTGCTCACATCAAAATCCACCATAATATTTGTTTGTAACTGTTTTGGACTGTTTTTGCTTGTAAAAATTCTCTCCTGATTCAGACAAGACAACTTTTATCCTCTGGAAAAAGTAATATTATGGATAAAGGATAGCCAGTCATTACTGAAAAAAAAAATTATATATATATATATATATATATATGCAGTAAGTATTTATGAACAATAAAAATACTTTCCTTTATTCAAAAAGTAAATAATTTCAATTTTTGTGTTGACTTTAAAAGATAAGATTGGTCTAATTTGCCTTTTAAAATATACAGCAGTAAGACCCCAAAGGAACAAATTAAAGGTGCAGTAAGTGTTTTTTTTCTCAAATACCAAACATGAAATAAACTACCAGACACTTTCACTGAAACGTGTGTCTGGAGAATTCCCACCTGTCTCTGTGACAGACCTAGACTCAGCAAACAGCAAAAAATGTCTGTGGCAAAGTCTGAAATCACTTACAGCAACCTACCAACCATAATAACACAAAATATCTCTTGAGGATAATGAACTACATCGTTTTTCAACTAACAAATCACAGGATGACGCACATAAGCTGTTAAACTAACGTCACAGCAAGAATCCATGCTATTTGAGTGCAACCAAATGCAAACACAAGAGAAAACTGTGTTGGCAAGTGATGTCCATGTGACCTTTCCAGAGCAGACAAAATGACGAAGTGTGGTTTTAATTATTCTGAATAATTTACCCTTTGGAAGATTGTGGGAGGTGTTAGCTTTTTAAAATCCGACATTCCTAGGCTCACACTCATTTTAACACAATGACATTTTAGGGAGTATTAGGAAGTGGAAATTTAAACCACTAAGTGAATACCATATAACTCTGTTGCTTGATTCATCACTGACTGGAAGTAAAAATGTCAGTGGTGATGCATCTTGCCAGTATGAAAATGACAAATTAATTGATTATCTTAAGACATTGTCTTGGGCCTGATAGTATTAAAAAAAGTTGTATTTTTTAGAATTACTAGAAACTAATGGTAGATAATAATAATAATAATAATAATAATAATAATAATAATAATAATAATAATAATAATAAT